ATATAATAAGAGTAATCAAATAACTATAATAAGAGTAATCAAATAACGTAACAAGAAAAAAAATGAAATTTGGTTCGTCATCATTGGAAATATTAATTCGTAAAATATTTTTCATTCACAGAAGCCACTTAATTTGAAAACGAGCTGCTTTCTTAATTTTCATATTCAATCCAATCACATTTAAAAAAAATGTTTTGCTGTAATGGTGTTTAGAAATTTATTAGATTTTAACTAATCCAGTCGAGCAGGTCGGTCCATTAAAAATAAAAAAACTCTTCCAGTAATAATATATTTTATTTTTAAGACTCGAATTCAAGACTTTACTTAGAAAGAACAAGTATTAAATCACTTAAATCAATTACTTGGTGAAGAATTGATAGTTCAAAAGTATCTTCTAAATTTCATCAAGATGAAGATGTAACAGTTGACTTGGACAGTGAAAAAAACTTTTATTTATAATAAAAAGACTGAATATCATCAAGAGCTGATCACTGTCAAAAAATTGAAAACCATCAATGAAATATCCTGTCGACAAGTAACCTTATTCCATCAACAATGTAAATGGCCGACGGAGTTACAGATGAACACATGATGTTGGGCAAAGTTTTATCGGGGATTTGATGTTTATCGGGGATTCTGACATAATATCGGCGCCGAATAAGTAAAATCGATACAATGTTCGCATAATGGATACAAGAATTTACATCCTGTATCCTATCCTATCTATTTTGCCGTTTGGTGATGCGGAAGCTGTCCTGTACTTGCCTGGTATTTGCGTTCACAAACTGAAAAAAGTGAAAGATTTGAGTTAGATAAATTGCATGAAAAAAATTTCTTTATTTATTCATGAGGTTGTGTATGCTGCTGACCTCTAAGTTTATGTCTTCCTTGGTGGCATGCCCTCTTAGATAGCCGAAATCAGAGATTCTTGTCAAACTCCAACTACCAGGCTGTTCACAGGAACGCAGACAATATTATAAATTTATTCGTTAACAATGCAATAGCATGCCATTAATGAATAGCAGAGGAACTCGGAGCAGAACATTCACATTTAATCTCAGCTGTTAGCAACATTCTAAGATATGATTTATAATGTGAGTCATTAGTTATTTTTTATTAGAAAAAAGAATGAGAATAATTTGATTTAAACTAATTCTGATATTATATCCAGACACGTACTATTTTAATTAAAAAAATTAAGCTGCAACGAGGCCTAAAAATATGATCCATATTGTTCTTTAACAACTATCTTGTATGCCATGCACCTTCCTCTGCTATTCATTAACTGAAAACATTGAATTCAATTTACCAAAGAACATGGGTGATCAGCTTACTTTTGAGAACTTGGTCAAACTGAAGCCTGCCATACCAATAACTGCCTGCACTGGAGCACTGTAATTGCTGTGATCGTATGTATCAATACCATTTCGATCTTTTGTTGGCATGGCCAGACAATTGCTTTGATAAACAGAACATGTTCTCTCATAATTGTGAACATGGCCAAAGAGAGCTAGATCAACCTGGTTCATGCACACAACATTACTGATTTAGAGAGCAGCAAAATATAGGCCTAGTTGATAATCGACCAACAAATCTAGCTAACCTTATGCTGCAGCAGTAATGGCTCTACAGCCTTAGAAAATCTGTCGTCGAGGTTAAACAATCGATTAGTCGATGAGGAGTACATTGGTCTGTGCCTGCACATGATTTGTGAAAGTCTTTAAATCTATATCCGAAATCTATCAAAACCTGGGCACATGGTTTCATATAAATAATGCTAAATGCAGCTTACCCAGTAAAAATTAGCCAAGGAGTTTTTGATCGATCAACGGAACCCATATCCTTCGTCATCCATTCATACTGTCAAGAGTCCAAAATGTCAGTCACTCAGAGTAGAAAGAGTCCAAAATGTCAGTCACTCAGAGTAGAAAACTGAAGATCATGGAAGGTTAGGTTTGGCTTTACCTGCTCAGAATTCTCAGTCCAATCATGCTCGGTGGAAATGACTGTAAAGTGGATACTTCCTTGTTCTATAGAGTACCATGGTTCATCCTTTGCTGGGGTTGGCATTGGAAAATAAGTCTCATAAGGAACTCCACATTCTCCACCTGAGTCAGGGGTTATGTACACAGATCCGGAACCGATGTAATATCTGAATAAATTTATACAGTGATCAATCCCTGAAACACAATTCTGACACTGAAAAAAGACACTCAAATGTTCAAGTGAAAACCTTTCATGGTTTCCGATTGCGGTCATGTAGGAGACTTGAGAAGCCATAGGACTTATGAGGTGAAGGAAAAAATCCCATTCAACCAGAAATCCTGTTGCATAACTTATGTCTCCAATGTGGAAGATGGAGTCTACATTGCCGGATTTTACCTCATCGGTCACGGCTTTAATCACTGAGAGAGATCCCGGCTACATGATCACGGATTATGAACAGTGGTCAATACATTATTGCCATGTATCATCTTTGTTTTCCTCAACTTATATATGATAACATTTTTCGATTTCTTCGTTACATTTCATTGTATTCTACCTGGATGTAGTGTTCGACAGAAGGATCAAGAGGGGCTTTCCCCATATCACCAAATGCAAGAAACTTGAGCTCATCAGATCCTCCAGCAGGTGGAGTTCGAAACTGGATTTTATCACTCCAGCCAACGGAATCACTTCATAGGAAGAATAAAGGCCAATTAGCTATAAATCAAAATTTTGGGACATATTCAATAGTTACCTTCCATATCTGTAGGAGTACGTAGTTGAAGGCCTTAGTCCGGTCATGACTGCTGAATGAATGTACCCAGGGTCATGCCACCCAAAGTCCTTGGCAGGACTTGGAAGAACGGAAGCTATGAATTCCATACAATTCTCAGAAGATTCAAAAATCACTACATAAACGTTTTATAAACCAAAGAAATACCAAAAAATCAGAAAAAGGAACTCACTGCACATATCATCTTGCGAAAATGTTTTTGCTGTTGATGTCAGTGTTTCTCCATCTCCATATTGTACTTGTTGAGTCTCCTCACTCCCACTAACCCATGTTAATCTCATCTGCGACATAAGCAAGAAGCTTAAACGTCAATTGTAGCAAAAGCAATGCATGAAACTCCTCAATGTCAGGTAGCATTTTATTACCGTTTCGAGACAAAAAAGACGAAGATATATGAGACATTTTATTTGTTTTTTCTGTTTTGAAAAAACATAAATTCACTCCAAAATTATTTCAGAGAGAGATTTATTTTATATATTTGGTTTCATTCTTTTAACAAAATATATTTTTATCCTTTTTGTATTTATCTTTTTATCTATCGTAGAATACTAATCAAATACAATCTTACGCACCGATGTTGCTGTCGAATCTATGCTTGAGATATGCCCACGTAGTGGCTGGTTTGGATTGGAAAACTTCATTGGGCCAGAACTTGTTAAAATGCATGGAGTTTCAAATCCTCCAGAAAAGAAGACAAACTCAATATCGGTCCTGATATTGATGACATGAAATGATATTGTACCACTGCAAGCCGACACTTCACAATTAGTATTGTTGTATTTTTTGTATTCCTGCTTAGTGCACTTCAGATAGTCTGGATCATTGCTCACATATTGTGCCTGCAATTCAAAGATTCAAAGATTATAATTATACGTTCACTCTTAATGTTATTTTAGGCTCATAATTTGTTTCGGATTACAAGTTAAACAGGCTAAAAAAAGGAGCACCCACCCTTTTAACAATGTCATGGGATCTACAAACTCAATCGATCACATCAATAAACTGATCAAAATAATAATTAAAAGAAGCTGTAGCTAGCAGGCTGGTTTTAGAATCAGAATATGGCATAATTACCTTAACAGGATAATGACAAAGTAGAGGGAGTTTACTAAGATCACCAGTCTGCACATATCTAGATTTTTTGAGAGGACAACTCTTGACACTGCAATATAGATATTTAGAGACAATATATCATACGTCAAAACAACACAAAAAGAATTCCATGATACACAGTAAAGGTATGCTAAGGAAAGATTAAAAAATAAAACTCAATTCATGTGCATGTCCACATGCACATGTACGAACTCTTACTCGGAATCAGAAGGTGATATCATGGCAACCCAGTCATCATCCGAAGGAAGAAAAACTCCGCTGACAGTAACATTGACATATTCATTGTCCGACAAGAGGCTGTTTTCTGAGCTAACATTGATTCGAACGTAAGGGCTGGGGTGAGGACACTGAATTAAACCTCTTCTATTTAGTACTCGAAAACTCGATATTGCTGTATAATTTTGGTGCACGATGGCTGATCCTAGGACTGAGGGAGGCAACAAATAGGAAGAAGAGAAGGGAATGAAGGCTAGAAAAATGATGAAAACGTTTAGAATGGTCAAAGAAGAAGTTGCTGAGGGTTTCATGGTGAAATTATTTTGTGATTTCCGAGGAATGATCATCCAACTTGTGTTTGATTGTTGTTAGGTTTTGTACTTGGCGTGTCATTTGTAGTACTGGGATCTCGATGGAAAGAAATCCTACTTGTGTTTGTTAGTAGTTCTAAGGTTTTGTAACTAACAATTGGGGTTAGTCCAAGTTCCATGTACCAACATTAAATTCTCTCTTAATTAATCAGATTTTAATTAAATTATATTCAGATTCTTAATAAATTATTTATAATTAAACAGTGTACTTACAGAAAAATGTATCTCGTGGTATTTGAATCTTAAATAATAACGTGGGGCGTAAGCTTCCTCGCCATTGGGGCTAAAGCCATCAATGGTAGATAGAGTATGTAAGTGGTTTTCCCTCCGTGTATGCTTTCACTTTCCAATGAAATTCAATTTGGAGTGTAGTGGGTTGATGATCGTAGTTATGAGCCATTTCATACCATGAGACCTCCTGATGCAGAATCGTTTTTTTCTTTTTTCTTTTTTCTAAGAAAATAGATTTTTTTTTTGTTATGATGATTTTCTATTTTAAGGGAATATCTTTTCTAGTTTTTTTTTTCTATTCAATATTATTAAGATTTTTTTTTAGTATTTTCTATAAAAAAAGTTGTAATAGTTTTTTTTGGCAAGTAGAGATATGATCTTATGATTTTTTTGTTTTTTTTATATTTTTAAAGGTTTTGACATCTAACAAATCACTTTATCCTTTACTCTTGCTTGCATTAATTAGTATTAGAGCCCCACAACCATGGTTATTTTACTTTGTTGTTTGATGTAGAACAACTATAATTGAAAAAAAGCTATATAACAAGGTGTGTTTGTATAAAAAAAGAGATTTCTTCATGAAAAAAGATGTCCATGAACTACTTTGTTATTTTTGTTGGTGTCAATTAATATAAAAGCCCAATAATTTCAGGTTATTATTTGCTATATATTACAATTCTAAACTATTTTGTTTATTGTGGGCTATTAAAGAACCATGACTCGTAAAGAACTCAAGGATCATTAACGATTATTTTGCTATACTATGTGCTATAGAAAAACCATAGCTAGACGTGGATGCATAATATAATGTACTTGTGTAGAATAGTACAAAGAAGTTTTCTCTCAAGAAAAATAAGTTAAAAAACTAGTGTGTTGTTTTTGTTTATATCAATTGCTATCATTTGAAATTTTGGTAGAAAATAATGAAATGAATTACAAAAAAATATTGTATTAGAGATTTATGATAAGGTGAACTGCGCGTAAAAGAATGTTCATGACAAAAAATAATTTTTAACTAGAGACTGAATTCAAAGACAAGGTTTTCCTAACTTGGAGAGACTCAAGCAAGATCTTTATATATATATATATATAGGAAAATAGATATTTTTCTATTTTTTATTATGATGCTTTTTTAGTTTTTTTTTCTATTTGAAGGGAATATTTTCTCTAGTTCATTTTTTTCTATTAAGTATTATTATGGTTTTTATATTTTTCTATATAAAAGGTTGCAATAGTCTTCCACAAGTGAAGGTTTAAATACATAAAAAAATTTAAATATTTTAATTGTCTTCTCATATTTATAGTGTTTGTTTTTGTTATCGAGAGTTTTAAAATACAACAAACCTCTTTATTTTTTATTTTTGTTTGCATCAACCCGTATTGAAGCCCAATAATCTTTAATAATTATTTTATTTTGTTGTGGGCTGCAAAATAACTATAACTGAAATAAATTATAAAACAGAATGTAATTATATAAATGGAGATGAGAAGTTCCAAGAACTAATTTGTTGCTTCTGTATGTATTACTTGTAATAATTGAGGTTGCATGACCCTTATATTAGTTACTATCACAAGAAAGCCATACAATTGTAATTATCAAGTAAAGAGTTTTCTTAACATGTCTGTTCATCAAAACGACCAAACAACAAACAATATTTTTCAAGAAGGAAGTAAATCAATTGTCAGTTTTTAAACTTTTTTGTGAAGTAGTATTGAAGGAGCATGTTCAAAAAAAGCCAAATAATTTCTTTCCACCATTTTAGATTTTTCCTTTCATAATTCTAATTAGTTTATTGACTTCTCATTGCATATATAGGTTTGAAATTATTGAAAAAAAATAAAAAATTGCTTAATATTCAATATAAACACAATCTTGAGCAAGTCGGAGAACACCAGGTCGACGAGTCAAAACATACCGTGCGGCATGCCTCCCTAAATTCCTGAAATGTCAAAGATTGCCTAAACAAACTGGTCATTCTCTAACAAGGCTGAAAGCATGTGGCTTTCTAGATTATCCCTTCCCATGTGTTCTGTAACCACTAGCTCCACCCTTGTTTGTTTAGTCTGATTAGTAATAATTTAGATCGGTTTAACGGGTTAATCAAGATTTTAGATATGCCCGGGTTTCATGAAAAATAAAAAAAAAGTTGATTTTTAGTGTTACTATTAAATTACTCAAGACCTAATCAAAATCCATTGAAGCTCTTTTTTTTAAAAAAATTTGAAAGTAATAGTAAGCATTATAGTAAAATCGAATTCATTAAGTTGAGCACTAATTTGCGCTAGAATATACTAATAGACGACACAGAATGAAGGGTTGCAGAGACAAAATACAAGAGAATTAGAAAGTGGGATCACCTCAGATGGGCTTTTTCTGTCAACCAATATTTCACTCTTGCAAAGCGACTTAATTTCTTCTTTAGCAAGGCTTATCGATCATACTGTTATGAACACATGGTGCTACGGCTCAACAGGATCACAAGTCAGCTGATGATCCACATATGCAACACCTGGAGAACCAGTTAGTGAAAGTGCATGCCTCCTCTCTTCAAGTCATCCTTTCCAGAAGAAAAATGAAATGTAGCCAGCACCTTAACTATTGCCAGAGTACCAGCTACGTACTATTATACATGCTGTATAATGCAATTGATTGTTGAGTTAATTATAACTTAATTAGGATTTAATCAGTAAAAAAACTTAGTTTTGGTGTATGAAAACTGCTACTTCTGGTTTATCAACTCAGCGTGATTGAGTTAGAAATCATATCAGGTGTAGTTTTTTTTTTTAATTATTATTATTCCTTTTTCATGCAATCAAAGAAATTCATTTCATTAGAAAGATGAGAGCCCACTTTAATTACATGGGACATTAGAGCCCTATTAAATGCCCAAGCCCAGGAGTGAAAATACAGAAAAAAACCCCTACAATCAAGGACTCGTATTATATTTGCAGGGTTGCACCAAAAGTGCTGGGTGGAGTTGTCTCCAATGCCTTTCCTCCCCTCTTATGCTATTCTATAGTTGTTAAGCTCATGATTCATGGTTTTTTCTTTTGTGGTTGGATAAAAAAAACAAAAATTATCACGATACCAAACAATATCTGAATATGAACTCCATATCTTTTATTTGGATTAGGATATCTGCAATCCTCTGCTAGTTTTCTTAGTATTTTTTTTTAAGGATTCTCATTACCCTACCCAGATAAGAATGGCAAGTAATTAGCCACTTGATCTTTGGCAAAGAGTTGAAGTTTGTCTTATTTTTGGGAGTTTCTACCTCGTGACTAAGGCTAAAACGCTAGACCATCAATTGAAGACAGGGGCTTGTCCTCTTCAGTAACCCTTTCTTTCTCTAGTGCCAAATATTATTCCTTTCTCGGACACCACCAAGCTTAGCTCAACAAAGAGAATCCATCCAAATTAAGATGAAAGAACTAGCCAAGCTCCTTCATCACATGACACACCATCGTGGGTCCTTCACGTTTTGTCTTAAATCTCCACCTCTAATACAATCTCCTAGGTTTAGCTGAATTTCAGGTCCTTCTCCTTGCTAGTAACCATGCCAGGCCACTATGGTACGAAATGGCAACTAAATGCTTTCCCTTGAAAACACCCCCACTAAACATTGTTATGACCGATAAGCTACATTTCGTAGGAAAATCTCGATTTTTTTTCTCTTGTCTTTCTAGCTCCTCTCACAAACTAATCTAAACAAGAACTGCCAAAAGAATATTAAGCGTTTCTATGCATACAATCACATGCTTTCTCTACCAAGGATAATAACTAGACGTTGAACTTACAACTCCCATGAATGAATAATGGATATCTGATCTCAATTTTGTATTTAGTGAGTGTTTTTGATCGCCTTTTGACCCTCTGCTACTAACCTATTCTGAATAATTTGATCAATATGACCAAACCTAGTCAACTGATTTTTTTAATTTTTCTCCTTATATTCATCACTAGTAGTTATTATGAAAATAACATTGGACTTTTCTTTTTCTCATACCCTTACAAAAAACATGGTACTCAACAATATGAGATTACATGGTCTTAATTACTTTTCTAGATAAAATAAAGCAATGCTTATAAAAGAATGAAAGAAGATTGAATGTCTGTGGTAGATTCAATGAACTTTCTTTGTGCCTAAAATTAACCTCCAAAAGTATTCATCAATGGGAAGTGGGAACATCCCTCAAAAAGGAACTCACGCACAAGGGGAGCCAACACATAGACCAATGAAGGTCATTGCTATTGTCATTGATTCCATCATTATCACCACTAAATAGACAAAGATCACACAAAAATAAAGTGAGAAAAGAAGAAAATAATTAACTATTAGGTAAGTGGGTGCATAAAAATATTGCTGCAACTTCCACTTACATGTATATTCAGCTTCTCACAGTGATGATGTTGTATACCACTAACCTCACAAAGACATGGTCTATCTTTGAGGATTTGATTTATGAGATTTATCTATAAAAAAAGAGCATTTAGGGACCACTAGAAATTAGTCCCCAACTTATATATATAGTTATTAAAAATCCAATCCTAAACCTCTAGAATCTTGCTAATTTCTCCCCAAGCTTCCTTTGGTTAAGCATGTTTTCATCATCTCTATATTTGTATTCTGCACATAAAATTGGCATCTGAAGCTCAACTTTCCTCTGCTCTCACCATTGCTATAGATTGAATTGAAAGAGGAAGGAGATGATGATACAATCGGATAACATCAGTGTTTTAAATGACTTACAACTAAATATAACTAATGAAAAGCTCTTAAAGCTCCGTTTAGTAAGGTGATTTAATCTGTTTTTAAAAGTGTTTTTCACGTATCAAATTCATGCTTTTTATTATTGGATATTTGGCCTTAAACATAGCATAAATTGAACGTTTTGAAAAAATAAAAATATATGTAAGTATAGATTGAACTGGATAACATTAATTGTTTTTTAGAGTTGATATTTTGAACTTATCTTGTTATATAAAAAGAATTATTCAAATGATCTCCATATCTCTATCCAAAATTTGGACACCCCTGCAACCTAAAATTCGTATTTCAACAAAGATGACACTTGCAATCAATATCCATATCCGAATCCATTAGTCGAGTACGAGCACGTAAATCTAGGGAAAATGGGGCTAGATCTTGAAGGTTGAGAACTCATATGTAAATTAGCATATAAATTTGGGATTGAATTGTAGTTATCTCATGCATCAGTTGTGAACGAGGAATGGGACTAGATATTCAAGAACTCCCCCCACCAAAGGTTCCACACCTATAGTTAAAAACTTCATTCTACTTTTGGCTTTTTCCAAAGGTTTTTCGTCTCTTTGTCCTGATGCAGGAAGACAGTAACAAGTGGATAGTCTAATGGTCTAATGCCCTTTGAGAAGAAACAAATAGTGGTTTTGGTGGCACTTGTAAGGATTTGCCTTGCAATGCCCAGTATCACCCACTAAGCAACAAGCAATGGTGTTGTTTTGTTTTGTTGGGGCACCCTTGTATTCTTGTTGTGTTCGAGCATAAAACACATGCTTTTGGCCAGCTGTTATTCCCATCCACTCCACTCCATGACAAGGGTGTTTCTAGAGAGACTGATACAGACAACACAAAATTTAGAGAGAGAGAGGTAATCTAGGGGGCTCTGGTTTTCAAGAAATTCCATTATTCCCTCTGATCCCCCTCCATGGACAAGAAAACAAGTAGTGACAAAAACAACCACTTGTTTTGTCTCCAAAGCAAACATGGAAAGTACCCTAAAAGTCAAGAGCTTTAATTCCCATTTCACTGCTCGTTTTGTAAACAAAAGGTTAGGCCAGAGAGGAAACCTTTGTAGAGTAGAGCGGATAGCTCTTGGTTCACTTTGATGGATTAGGAGAATTGTGGGACCAAGCTTGAAACTTTCTTCAGGAGTTTTGGTGGGTTTCTTGTGAATTTCAAAACCCAGTTGTGGATGATTCACTCTTGGTTTTGAACTGAAATTCACAGGAGAAAATCAGTCAACTCTCCCTGGTAATTCCCCGCCTTTGTTTCTTGTTTTGGCACATAATTGAGCAAATTTCTGAACTCTTCTTCCTTTTTTGTCAGAAAACTTAAACCAGTAGAGCTTGCTTTTCTCCGTGTTCGTGTGTTTTGTTTGGTTTCTTGCTGTGTTTGGTTACAGAGATTGCGTGGGAAAAGAACGGAAACTAGACTGTTTGATTGTAAGAGTGACTGTTGAGAAAAGAGATACTTACTGGAGTGTTCTTGACGTTGTACTCTTAAGAATTGAATGATATTTATCTGGAAATTTTTCTCAATTCCTCAGCTAAGAAGAAAGTTCCCTGAATTTAGCTTTACATTTCAGAGAAAAAAGAGATACTATTTGGCTTGTTCTGTTTACATTTCTCTGTTTCTTTGTAACAAGGAGTGTTAATTTTCTTCAGTGTTCCTGTCTTGGATTTTTTTTCTTCTTTTCCTAGGAATTTAACCATAACCTTATGTTTTGTGTTAGTGTGTATTTAGATATTCTAACAGGCTGTGATTAGTCATTTGGAAGATGTAAGAAAGCAAAAAATATACTTATTAACCCTTTAACCGAGATTAGTCCAAGAATCTTACTAAGATGATGGTAGAAAAGATCATGATCTTCTGTTTCTGGACTGTTTTACAATTTTCACTTAGATATATGCTATGTAGTTTATTCATCGAGCATGGACTTATTTTTTCAGCATGTTTCATGTCATATTTTCTTGTTCAGGGTGTTGAGTTTGGTCTCGTCGTTAATGGTAGGAATGGTTCAAGAAGAGGGATCATCATCTGTAACTTCACCTCATCAGTTCTTTCCATGGATGCCACTGCCGCCAGGGATAGGATCACCATACCCTTGGCTGAGGGAACTGAAATCTGAAGAGAGGGGTTTGTGTCTGATCCATCTTCTTCTTGCCTGCGCTAACCATGTAGCGGTTGGTAGTGTTGAAAATGCAAATATTAGCCTTGAGCACATCTCCCATCTTGCCTCTCCTGATGGCGATACGATGCAGCGGATTGCTGCTTACTTCACTGCAGCACTTGCTGATCGCATTCTTAAAGGATGGCCTGGTCTGCACAAAGCTCTCAATCCAAAACAAGTATCTTTGATATCTGAAGAAATTCTTGTTCAAAGATTATTTTTTGAGCTCTGTCCCTTTTTAAAGCTTTCATACGTGATCACAAATGAGGCCATTATAGAGGCCATGGAAGGGGAGAAGATGGTTCATATCATCGATCTCAATTCCTCTGAGCCTGCCCAGTGGATCAATCTTCTTCAAACATTAAGCGCACGGCCAGAAGGACCACCTCATTTGAGAATAACAGGTATTCATGAGAAGAAAGAGGTGTTAGAGCAAATGGCTCTTCGGCTGACTGAAGAAGCTGAAAAGCTAGACATCCCTTTTCAGTTCAATCCTATTGTGAGCAAACTAGAGAATATTGACCTTGGAAATTTGCGGGTTAAGACTGGAGAAGCTCTTGCTGTCAGTTCTGTACTTCAGCTGCATGCTCTCCTGGCCATGGATGATGAGATGCATAAAAGGAACTCTCCATCAGGATCTAAGAATCCAAGCTCTAACCATTTTCAGAGAGTCTTACGGATGAACCAAAACCGACATACTCTAGGTGAGTGGCTTGAGACAGATTTGGTCAATGTCTATAGCTCTAGTCCTGACTCAGCATTATCCCCACTATCTCTTTCTGCTTCACCGAAGATGGGCAGCTTCCTAAATGCACTTAGGAGTCTCTCACCGAAATTGATGGTGATAACTGAGCAGGAATCAAATCATAACGGGCTTAGTTTAATGGAGAGGGTCACAAAAGCTTTGAATTTTTATGCTGCACTATTTGATTGCTTGGAGTCTACTGTATCGAGAGCATCATTAGAGCGGCACAAGGTTGAGAAGATGCTATTTGGGGAGGAAATTAAGAACATCATCGCTTGTGAGGGAACTGAGAGAAAGGAGAGGCATGAGAAGTTGGAAAAATGGATCCTGAGGCTCGAGTTAGCTGGGTTTGGGAGCATTCCTCTGAGCTACCATGGTAGGCTGCAGGCAAACAGATTATTGCAGAGCTTTGGCTATGATGGATATAAAATCAAAGAAGAGAATGGATGTTTATTTATTTGCTGGCAGGATAGACCACTATTTTCTGTGTCAGCTTGGAGATTTAGGAGTTGCGATTGAAAGATTATCGAACATATGGGGACTGTGCTTTCTATTATTTTGCTACTGTTCTTTGTATAAAGGATGATAACCTTTAATGTGCAGTTGCATAATGTTCAACTTTTAAAACATTTTCTCCATTTATATAACGTTGTATTAGATAATTGTTTATGTTTATTTACTCTCTGATAAAAGTTGGATGATATTTGTTCCATACATTGAACTCTGGAAATTAGTTTGGTTTCCAGAAAGAATCATCGACTGTAAAATCAAAATATCCTGCCAATCTCCCGTGTCAGAACCGAAAATATCACAAATTTCTTGTAAATGTTCCTGTAGAACCTATCATTCCGAACTCTTGAACAACATTGCCAGGAAGATCAAAATACTTACTTTCGAAAAGCAGCGGACATGTCCGACAAGTAGACACCAGGTAGAATAAATGGGGAAAAGGAAAAACTGCGGATACCACTAATAATAAGAACTTCAGATCTGCATAACAGTTACGTTGTATTCAACTACAGCATTTCTTGTCTTTAGACTGAATGAGATCGTCTTCAACAATGAATAGCCTCGAGTGAGCCGGAAAAGACCGCTACCTCCAACAACCTGGCATTATCGAAGACTGGATTGTGACCTAGAATACTCGGGGCACTCCCATTGTACATACCCTCAACAAAAACAAAACTCAAAACCATAAGCAATCCACATTCATGTTGAGAAGCAAAAACATACATACCCTGTGCTCCTCCCTCAAGTTTTTAAGTAGGTTCTGGCTCTTCAGTTAATGGATCATCTACCATGAAAGTCTTGACAAAGCTACCATTTTCTTTGCTGGTCCAGCAATTCTCATGGTTGTTTGGTTTTCCCCACTTCGAATATTGTGAAAGAAGAAATGCAGGCGGGCCATTTTCTCCATGCTTTTTTCGGATATGATCATAGGGGTTTGCTCAGAGAACTTGCCATTACTAGTGCCGGAAAATGTCAAGAATAAGAGGAGCTGTGTGTGAATAAGAAAAAAGCCGTAGGGGAATGCTAGAAGAGGCTATTTATAGTATTGTGAGCTAGAATTGATGAATATTGTAGCGTGAGATTGGCCTTTTGAAGGGGGTTAATGTGGCAAAATAATTATTACTTGAACTTAGTGTTGCATCAAAAGCAAGAAACAAAGTGATAGTAGAGAGTAATTTTGATGACTTTGAGAGGGCCTCAAATTTCTTGAGTAAGGGGACATGTAGTTTACAGCATTGAGGATGTTATCCTGTCTGAGCTGGTTCAGCTACTAAACATTACTAAGCTTTTTTACTTGAACACGATAACATACACAGCTCTTTATCAAATTACAAACCATAATCCGCAACAACAGATAACAAAAAAAGAAGAGAATAATCGATAATAAATGCAATCAGGAGTGCTTATTTTGTCGTAATAAATTGTGTCAATTGTCCCCCAAGTTTTAGAAAATTTTAATTAATCTTTACATCTATATTTGGTATGAATTCTGTAACAAAATTGCACTAAACAAAGTTCCCAATTGAGAAATCAAAATTATTTGGAAACAACATTAGTTGATACAAAATCTTCCTTGCAGTCAAAATTGATACTACTCCAATACAAGGGTCCATTTTTAGGTTCGCCCCCCATCCTCACCCCCCACCCCCCCATAAACTGGTACAGATTTGCAGGAAACTTGACGATTTGCGTTAAAAAATCTATAAAACTTAGTTGAGAATTTGTGAGCATTTTGGACTTACAATAAAGATACAGTTTTTAAGAACTTAATTGAAGATTAATTTGATGATTGCTCTTCTTTTCTTTTTCTTTAAGAAATTCTTATGCTTCTGGGTCTGAATATTAGACAACATACCATCTAATGCCAAGCTATTACTGACTGTACACAAAGTACAGCAATATTTCTTGTTCATGGAAAGAATTAATCTTAGATACAGAATAAAATAACCAGCCACTAAAATTGTATGTCAGTATATGATACGTCGTTCTTCATTAGAGATTTCTTGTTCATGTACGAGGAAGGGCATTGGTAGAGTACATTGAATTGGAATGAATTCAATTTACAAATTTAAGTTATTAAATAAAGTTTTAAAATATAATTTATATTATTTTTTTAATATATTTTTTTAATTAAAAATTTTTTTGAGCTTGAAAATTATATATATTAATATTATCTAATGATTGATTTTTATCTAATAAACAAGAGTGATAAGATTTGAACTCATGATCATATAGTTATCAAAGTTTTATGATATTATATCAAAGAATTATATCAACCCAATAACTTGAATGAAATCTCAAAATATAATTATATTATTTTTTAAAAAACTATATTATTACTAATTTATTTGGGTTTTACACTTCTTTATTAATGTTTGCTGCTGAAGTATTACCATATTTTTTTTTTATTGTTTCCCAGTCATCTCACGAGCTGTCTCTGCTCAATTAAGCTGAGTTTTCCTTGTCAGCATTGCTGCCACATTATTTCAACTTGTTCTTGAACTCAAATCTCGATCCGGTATCAAACCCTGCGGCATCTTGTTTATACATTATGATAGAAAAGGAACATTAATTCTTTTTATAAAAAAAAGAGCACAGCTCACAAAAGTCTCTTGCAATTTTGAATGGCTAAATTTGTTTTTAAAAAAGAGCACAACCTGGGTGTTTATACTATTCCAAGGAGCTCAAACAAGCTGCACTAATTGAAATAATGCAAACCTCACAATTTAAAAGATCTAGTCACGCCACCCAGAAAAAATTAAGAGAGTGGCGCTGCAGAGAATAGAACAACCTCTTTAAAAAGAAAAAAATATTGAGATTGCGTCTACATGGATGGATGTAGCAGTGCAATATCCACAAGTGTTTTTAATGTCTATAAAGCATCAAGAATATTCTTTCACTCTTTATTAATCTAAAAACAGTACACAAGTATATGATTATGTATGCTCTATAAGAAATTCTAATCCTTCTAGATAATCTTAATCTAGGGAGGTAATTCTTAATTAGAGATAACAGTCAAATCCTAAATTTCTCCCCTCTAATTTCTCCTTCAAATCTTCTGCAGCAATAATTCTGCTACAATTTCTCCCTCAAATCTTCTGCAATAACTCACACCAACATATATATGTGAAAATCACAATCTTCACTTTTCTATTTTTTGTTATATGGGTTGCTCTACTTGAAGTAGCTTAACCCTTTCAAGTTTTTAAGAGCCGTGCGATTCAAAGGAGCTCAATCTTCGAAAATTCAAAGTTGAAGGGTTGCACTATTTCTAGCAGTGCAATTACATGAATTATTTTTCTAATTTTAAGGGTTCTAATTTTATCCCTTGAATAATGGAACGATGACCAAAGAATTAAGTTTAGATTGAAAATCTAATCTATCAACTTCTTGTATCGTTGATGGATTTTTCATATTGAAAGTATCGGACCAAGGCAGCTATAATTTTTATAATTTTCTGCAAAATGTCAATGGGAGAAACAGAAGGATATTAAGTTTAGATTGAAAATCTAATCTATGAACTTCTTGTATTGTTGATGGATTTTTCATGTTGAAAATATGGGACCAAGGCAGCTATAGTTTTTATAATTTTCTGCAAAATTTCAATGGGAGAAGCAGAAGGACTGGCCCAGATCTGCGCCCGCATGTGGAGCTACAGAACGGTCAACCCCACTCTTTAAAATAAGCGACAACTTGCAAATCAAGGCTCATTGGCCCCCCTGTTGGAAAGTTCGCTCGATTTCTGTAGCTCGAAAGCAATCCTACTTTAATTTTATATTCATCCACTAGAATCTCCAACTCAACTATGAATGTATCCAACTGTAAGTTCTTTCATCCAAACTAATCTAAAATCTGTGCGGCTCTTCTTTTCCAGTACACTTGGACTTTTTCTTCATAAGATTTCATCTTTTCATCTAGCACCTTTTTTCAAAGAGGAGAAACCATGATGGCTGGGGCATTGATTGGAGAATCACTTCTCTCTGCTGTCATTGAGGTTTTGGTCGACAGGATAGCCTCCTCAGAGGTTAAGAACTTCTTCAAAAGGCAAAAGCTTGACGATGGACAGCTGAGGAAATTGAAGTCTACCATGAGAGCAGTTGGCAAACTTCTCAGTGATGCAGAGGAGAAGCACATTACTGATCCAGCAGTGAAAGGGTGGCTCGACGACCTCAAGGATGCTCTCTACCAGGCTGATGACTTCTTGGACGAGATTGCTTATAAAGCTTTGCAATTGAAGTTTGAAGCTGAACCTCAAAGTGAGACCTGCTCAGATCAGGCGCGGAGCTTCCTCACTTCTCTTGTTCCATGTAAGAAGGGGATGGGAGAGATGCAACCGGAGTTAGAAAAGATCCTTCAGATTCTTCAAGACTTGTTGCAACAAAAAGTTGACCTTGGTTTAATAGAAAGCGTTGGAAGAATATCACTTCTGTCATCACAGAAAATACCAACAACTGCTCTGGTAGATGAATCTGATGTTTTTGGCAGGAAGGTTGACAGGGAAAATATAATGGCATTGCTGCTGCCAGACGACTCAGAAGGAAGGCAACTAGATGTGGTTCCAATTGTGGGTATGGGCGGGATGGGTAAAACTACCCTTGCTCAGCTTGTCTGCAGAGAAATCGAACTCTTAGAAGACAGATATGGGACGAAGTTGTTTGATCTCAAAGCATGGGTCTATGTGTCGGAAGAATTTAATACTCTCAAGGTTACAAGAGATATTCTCAAGGAGGTCGGTTTGCCAAAGTGCGATAACATGACTGAGAATCAGATTCATAGCGAGCTAGAGAAAAAATTGAGGGGGAAAAGAGTTTTGCTTGTTTTAGATGATGTTTGGAGTGAGGATCAAGCGGCTTGGGATTTTTTTCTGAAACCGTTCAAGTCTGTGAGAAAAGGAAGTAAGATCTTAGTCACGACGCGCAACGAAAATGTAGCATCAGTCAAGTCTACTTTTCCATCTCATCGTTTGCAGAACTTGTCCGATGATGAGTGTTGGCTGGTGTTGGCAAAAGTTGCATTTGATGGAGGAAATTTCAGCGCATATCCAGGGTTGGAAGAAGTTGGTAGAGAAATAGCAAAAAAGTGTAGCGGCCTACCTTTGGCTGCAAAAACACTTGGAGGTCTCCTGAGATCCAAAAGAGAAGGCAAGGAATGGAGGAAAATATTGAAAAGCAATTTGTGGAAGTCACCAAATGACAAAGTCCTTT